AAAGCAGTCTCTGTTTTCTTGTTCTCCCAAGCTGCTCCCGATATCGTAACTAACCCAGCTGAATGGCATACCTGAGTGTTACTTTGAATAATTAGGAATCTTATAAGGAAAGGACAGAACTCTGCTTATCGCTCGTGCCTTGGAGGGAACCGGGGACGGAAATTTCCTTCACCTGTGACAGCATGTTTACTCTGACTGATAAGAGCAGGACGACTTCAGAGACAGCTCTGGTCCTCTCCCCGGTAGGACAAAGAAGAGCAGCCCCTCTGCTGCTCTCTCACCTCCAGTGTGGGCTGGGTTCAGAGGGGGAAGGGGGCCGCCATGCTGGGCCTTTTGTCCCGCTGTGGAGAGCACATATACGAGGACATATGGGCAGGAAGACAGGCTGAGAAACCTGCCTTATAGCAGGGAGGTAGCGGGAAATGGCGAAATTAACGAGTTCTGTCCGCACGTTCAAGTGCTCAGAGAGTAGTTAGCTAATAACGAAGCCAGTTTCCTGGTAAATGCAGCTGCCATCGTTAAACTTTTATCGGGGTCGGCTTTTGCTTATAGGATCAACACATCAGCTAAAACGGAAGAAGAAGAAAAACAGACTTCGGGGGGCTTTATAGCAGACACAAAGTTAGTTAGAGCTGGTATTAATCAGCATTAGCTTACGCAATGCTGCTAAGAGCTAATATACTGATTTAAACCCCGTGTTTGCCCTTATTCTTGGTAACACTCGGGCTCGCATCGACAGTTTTCCAGCAGGGGTCTGATTACTTTTAAGTGGAGCTAACAACAGTCCCGACTGCCTTTAAACTGGGCTCACTTTTTCCTGGTTTTTAAATCAAGTAAAAACATCCGAGAAAAGGGCTCCCACCCCAACTCCAAGCCGATCCTCGCCAGCTGTGAACGCCGAGCCGCGCCGCGCTATCCGCGGAGGGGAGGTTGTTAGTTAGTTACTTAGCTGGCTAGCTAACGGGCTAGCATCCCCACACGGAGCTGTTTTGGCTCCATCATAAAAACAACCAAACGTCTTTTTTCAGTCTTACCTGAAGGTGTTTTTATCCCCCAGCAGGTGAAGCGACAGTTAGCGGTCGGTGTCCCTCCAGCTGCCCGTTTCCTGCTCAGTATTTCCGATGTGCGCTGAAGTTGGAGCTGCTGTTTGGTTGCTGGCTCGGAGGCTGAATGAGCAGAGCCGCTGCAGCTCGGCACTTTTCTCCTCCCCTCCGCGGTCACAGCTCAGAGCTCAGCAACACCGACAACCTGCCACGGCCACAGCTGCTGCTGCTTTACCACAGGAGCTCCAAAAACAGCCACCAAGACCCACGGGGGACTGTTTTATTTTCTTTTTTGTTTCTGTGGCTTTGACATAAAAGCTAGCAATGAATATGGAAATCATCCTTGGTTATTTTTTTTACATGTTTCTTTATCACTGCTGTCTGTGATGTATTTTAATTACATTCTCCAGCTGTAATCTTTAACCTGTACTTCTATCTGCTGCCCTTTTTAAGGGTCACCCCCCTCCTGTGTCACACTAACCATCTGGATGTCCTCCTTCATCACATCCATGAATCTTCTCTGAGCTTTTCCTTTTTCCTCCTGTGTGGCAGCTTCTTCATCATTCGTTGTCCCTCATTTACATCATCCCTCCTCTGCACATGTGCAAACGTCTCAGTCTTGGCTCTCCACGACTCTGTCTCCAAACTGCTCAAGCTGAGCTGTCCCTCTGACACGTCCATTTATAATCCTGTTCATCCCGGTCTCTCCCAATCCTAACATCTTCAGCTCAGCCTTCCACCTTTTTGTCTCAAAATCATGCGTCACAGCAGGTCTCACTACCATCTTGTAAGTTTGCCCTTTCACTTCTCCTGCTATCCTTCTGTCACAAATGACCTCTGACACTCGTCTCCACCCTGGATGTGCTCTCTCTTGTGCACTGTCCATCACGTTGGATGGTTGAGCCCAGTTATAGGTAATTAATATTATGAATGGTACCGAGAAAATGAAGTGTCAGCATAGACCTTCAGTTTTGGGAAACGTGGCACATTATATGTATGTTGACTGGGGGTTGGGTTCATTTAATAAAATCCAAGGGGAAGCACAAAAGCCCAGTGTAAGACAAATAAGCATTATTTTGAACTGTGACTCATGCAAAGCTGCTCCAGTAGAGTCCAACATTAAAAATGTGGAGCTGAGAATGAGCAGAACGAGTGCACTTCAACAATGTGTTGTTTTTAAGCCTGCTATGTTAGCCATCGTGCATGAAGTAAAGCTTACAGTGGAGTAGAGACTAAACATTTCTCTCTGGACTGAGTGAAAGCATAAAGTAGTATAACGTGGAAATACTCCAGTACAAGTACCTCAGGGTCGTACCTGAGTGCTGTCTTTGTGTAAATGTGCTTTATTCCTCCACAGCCAAACCTGAGGGCAGTTTTTAGAAGTCAAGTCTGTTATATTCTGTTCACTGTTTATGGCTTTATTATTTTTACAGGTTCCTAATGGAGATTAGTTGTTTTCCCGACCTTTGTACAGACATTTCATCTGAATTACAAATCTATAAATCTTACCCTGAAATATTACCTGTAATACAATCAGTGGTGGGCTCGACTTTATTTTATACTTTTAGGTTTTGAGGGTGTCCCTGGCAATTACATAATCCAGAATAAGGCCATGAGTTTCGTGAGGTGCATAAATTTCCTGCGAGTGGCTAAAGGGTAAATGGCACAGGAAGCATAGCAGGATGTGTGCTGGTAGAGAAAGCTCACTGCAGTAATTTCCATTTAATCTGAAGTTGGTTCACAGATGGGAGGCACTGCCGTCAGCTGTTCTGTATGATAATCATATTTTGGGTTCAGTAAGGGTGTGTCTATAGACGGGCACATGGAGCCCCCCCAAAAAATGTCAGCTAGGACCCATCCATCTTTAATATACAGTCTGTATACTCATTCCAAAGTCGTCATTTAAAACTGTGATGATCTGGAATTTAAAGATAAACAACTCACTCATCGCCTGCAGCAGGTTACAAACACATTTAAGGTAAGAGATGATAACATTTATGCTTTCAGAAGACAAGCGTTTAGATGAATGATCGCTGTGGCTGCCTCTGCACTGAATCACCTTTGTTTACCTGTTTCCGCAAAGATAACAGTTATCGAGATGACAGGCCAGCCACCTCGCTACAGCTTACTTCCTGTCAGCGCCTCAATGGCTCAAAGCAGCATGGATGTTCTGGTGTCAGGCCTGTGGTACAGACTCTTCCCTCGACAGTGCTTTGGGAGAAACCACAGGGTGGATCAAATATTCACCAGGATGTCCTCCTGCCCAGAAATAGCGATCCCGCAGCTCTGTCCCTTTTATTTCGACCAGGTCACCTACATCCTTCCTACCACGCCCCTGTAGGTACCACCACTCTGATGGACAGGCGGTTCTTTAACTTGTGTATTTGATTTCCTAATCATCTTCCTCCCACTTCAAGGGGCAGCGGTAACCTCCAGCTGCAATGCTTCAACTCACGGGCAAACTTAAAAACAGAGACGCAAAGACCAGCAGGGGTGCGCCGAGAAGCTCGGCCCAGCACCGGCATCCATCTGAGTCGACTCTGTCAACTCCAGAAGCCAAAAAGCGGCAGTTTATCCACACGGGACTACATCTATCTCATGTATGGCTCCCACTGCTGATTAATAAATGTATCTATTTTATCTGGTAAATGTTGCGATTGTACCTGATATTACTTCAGCCATTAAAGAACAGGTAACTTTGTGTTGTTTGATCCCCATCGATGAAGCCAAGTCCCACCCAGAGAGTGAGTATCAGGTCTAAACGGGTGCTTCGGTGCCACAAAGATGAAATGAAAAGGCTGGTGCTGGTCCGGAGTGGTGACAACGCAGCGACTGCTGGATCTGAAAAAGTCAGCATCGAAGCATCTAAAACTGCCGTGGCTCTAAGGTCCACCCTAAAATATGCGAGACTGCATTTAAATCAATTAAAGTGACTCCCGCTTAATATTCTCCATCGAATAACAAACATTTGTTGCTGCTCTAATGGCTCAGCCAGAAGTAGAAAAACAATCACCATCATTTCCTGTTTTTATGGAAAACATCTTTAATGTATTTCTCGGGTTATTCAGACTACACACAGATACAAATGCTCTATCCTAGCTACAGTCAGGGCCAGATATTTTAGGAACCAGAGGAGCGCATGTAGGAAAACACACTCCTTCACATGGTGGTGTGACACGGGGCTGACGTGAGGCCACGAGCGCCACAGTGAGTAAATTTAGTCCAAAAATCAACGCAGGTCGTGAATTCACAAAAGCCGTAGTTACAGACACAGACGGAAATCAATAACAGACGTGTGTCTGGACATCTTTATTCTTCCCGATGATCTTTTCCGTCTACTTGTAGAACTCGTGCTCCTGCTCGTCCTTTTTGATGACCGTTTTGTAGGCTTTTTCAAAATCTTTGGCGAGGACGATGTACCTGTTCTCTCGCACTGCCAACATGCCGGCCTGAGACAAGACAAGAAGAAAAGTAATCAGTTTTATCTTATTATGAAAGTAAATAAGGTTAAAACCATTATAAGTCTAATTTAAAGTTCCCAGAATAAACACAACATCTCACACAGGTGGTTTTTGGCCACGTTTGGCGCTCGTTTTATGATCTTGTAGCTTTAAATTGAAATTGAGCCAAAGCTTTTAGGAAGAGGTCGTCAACAAAAGGTCGCCGATTCAGTTCCCTTTAGGTGGCGTCAGGAAAAGCATCGGACGGAAAACTCTCCCAAATTTAAACACGTGGAGCGAACGGCTCAAAAAAGCTTCTACATTTAAAACTGGCTGATCGAAGTAACATTCAGCTCACAGCCGATCAAATTTTAAGACGTCTCCAAACTGTATTTAAGACATTATCACTAATAACTCATACTTAATGGATACATTATTTTAAAAAGTGTAAACAAGTAGGTGTAGTGCATAGCTCACCTCCTGGCAGATGGAGTTGATGTCAGCTCCAGAGATCTTGTCTGGTCGGGCCACATCTGTGTGTCAGTGAAGGCCGAATCAACAAAAACAGCATTCAATGAATCAGCAGCAGTGATGAGGTGTCTATGGAGGAGGTGCGATGTAAACAGTACGCAGGGAGCACATTCTCATCTCTAACACTTTACAATGCAAAGCAAGCCGTTGGTGTGTTTTATGCCAAACGCGAGTGTGGAAACCAGTTCGGCCCTGAATCCAAGTGGATAATGTGGAGGACAGACATGCAAAAGTAAACGCAGATGGAAGGACTCGCAGACTGAACACAACAACACCTCCAGCCAAAGAAGTCAACAGCCCAGAGTCGGAAACGAAACCCAACAATGTAGAAACTCACAGTGAATTGTTTAAATGAGAAAACCTGAAGTGAGACAGTTACTACGTGCTGTGGTGAACGCTGCAGAGCGGGAACAAAATAAGCTCAAGGGCCAAAAGGATACAGTCCTCCAGGTCGACCTCCTCCGACAGGTTCATTTTACTGGTGATGGTGGAGAAAATGAGACGCTTCTGCCTGCGGTCGGGCAACGGGAACTCGATCTTCCTGTCCAGACGACCCGGGCGGAGCAGAGCCGGGTCCAGAGTGTCGGCTCTGTTGGTGGCCATGATCACCTGAAGACGGGGAAGATGTTCTTAAAGCACATGATTGTAAACGTGACATGTGATGTGTTCACTTAATAAAGGCACAGATGATTATTCTTTAACTTGGACTGTCTCTCCACAGGGGTTTCCTTGAACTCTTAAGCTCTTCAAATGAAAAACAGAAAAAATAAAGAGAAAACCAACAGGTGGAGGTGATGGAGGACAGCAGGGAGTGACATCACTCTGCTGTAAACACCGTCGAGCTGCAGTGAGCCTGCGTCGTGTTGTCGGAATATCTTCGCTTTTTCATGGCATTTTCAACTATTTATAAAAAGATAACGCACAATGAGCTTTATTTATTTACAATGGCTATTATATGAAGTACCAGTTTGGAATACTTGGATCTCGCTTCTTTAAATCCTCCACGATCTGCCATTACGGCCCTTTAGATCTAATTTACCGCTCCGACAGCTGCTGAACTTCTTGACAAAGTAATTTTGAATTTTGGAAGAAAACAGTCTTTGTATATTATTCTGTGCTGGGATGATGAAGAATGGGGCTGGATACTGTGGTAGAATAAACTAATGTCAATGAACTAAAGGTTACTTAACTTTAGAGACGTGTGTTGTTTTTACTGGACGGGACAGGAGGATGATTTACTCCAGGCTGTACGTCACGTAACGTTCAGAGACTTTGGACAAGAACATCTGTGATATGTTAGGAATTCAGTCTCAGAATATTTATTCTGGGAAAACATCCAGAGTTAGAAGAAGATAAACATACTAAGAAAGTGGTCCAAACCAGCGTCACGACAGGCAGCTTGATCCTCATTAAAGGCCTTAAACTCACTTTGGAAATATGGCGAAGAAATGATTCGGAAGAGTGGATAATCATTTCTTTGGAGGACTACTCTCGACTTGAGCTGCGTCCAAACTGGAAGCAACGTGGCGACTGAAGACCACATGATCTCAGTGAGATTTCCCCACATCGAGCGACTATAAAAAACAGAAAATAACCCGAGAAACTTTTCTCAGCTTTCAGGCGATCGCTTCAAGTGACTGCCAGTGAGAGCACAGCAAAGGCCGATTGACATGTAACCTGACAGTAAATATATTAGTGGGTTACCTAGGCAACCAGAGCCTGGAATTGTCTGCCTGCAATTGAACAGCAATCACCTTCAAAGCAAGCTTCAGACCACAAAGAGTAGACAGGATTTACCTACACTACATGAATCTGTTACATATGATAAATATGCTCACATAAATAAGCACAAATAAAAGCTGTTAATGATACAAATGAGAATAAATACGATACAGTGTTCCTGATTATTTCTGAGCGTGTGCATTTGTAACATTTTAACCATCAAGTTCCTGCACTTTTCTCACTGTAAGAACTATTTTGGCAGAGAAAAACAAATCTGCCCCAAAAACCTTTCTGGGTTATAGCATTCATCAGAACAGGAAGGAGTTCTTTGTACAAGTCTTAGCTGCACTCCATGTGTAAACAGCTCAAGGGCAAAATGTCCATTTAAGGTGCTGATGAATGACGCCGTGAGCCTCAGGGATGCTCTCTAAGCTGGATTGCAGCAGACGCAGTGATAACGATGCAGTGAATGAAATGCAGCTCGAGTCAGCACGCAGAGAGGTGGTGCAGCCACAGGGGGAAACAGTTAAGAGGCTCGGCTCACCTTGACGTTGACATTCTGGTCGAATCCGTCCATCTGATTGAGCAGCTCGAGTAAGATTCTCTGCACTTCCCTGTCAGCTGCAGAGGAAACAAAGAGGTTAGACGGCCGAGTTCGTCACGCAGACAGTCGCGTGCAGGACAAGGGCTAAAAACAACATGTATAAAAGTCGTACCTCCGGTCTGTGCATCGAAACGCTTCGTTGCGATGGCGTCGATCTCGTCGATGAAGATGATGGCGGGGGCGTTTTCTTTCGCCAGCCGGAACACGTCCCTCACCATACGAGGACCTTCCCCCAAATACTTCTGAACAAACTCGGAGCCGACCACGCGGATGAACGCCGCTGCAGGCAGAGAGAAAATCGGTGAAACACAACTTATTATAAAAATCACATTAAAGCCTTTTAAAGTTAAATGTATTACAGGTGCACATCACGTCCTGCTGCACTTACCTGTAGTGTGGTGAGCCACGGCTTTGGCCAACATGGTCTTACCGCAGCCTGGAGGTCCGTACATAAGGACGCCCCTGGGAGGGTCAATGCCAATCTGAGGAAAGAGTCAGAAGGCTGAATATGAAAAAATAAGTCATGTAACATCCTTTGTTTACATTTGTTGCACAGTCATTGTTGACAAACATCTTCATGCATTTCTGCCACCTTCTGGCCGTAGCTGTGTACTACAGTCTACATGTGTCCCCCAATGAGTCTTTTTTAAACTTTCATGGAGCTAAAATGTACAAAGTTAACATGTTTTATTCAACAGCGACTGAGATCATAAACCTATCAGGAAGGTTTTTACTGAGGTTCTCTCATACACATCTATACAATAATGGTCGTGCAGGTCATTATGAAGAATCAAGGTTAAGGTTTACACTGGCTTCACTTTCCAAACGCTGACACGACGTCTATATTTTATATACAGCCTGTGGCCAGAAGTCATGTGACTAGTTTGGAGCACGTCTAGGAAGCATAGACGACCACTGCGCTCAGTGTAAATCTCATTTTACCTTTTTAAAACTTTCTTTTTTAACCTTTGTGTTGCACTGCTAAGACCAGGTGTAGTTAACACTTGGCTTTAGTTACCGTTTGTGCGTCTGGCGTTTAGCAGTGTGGACCATGACGAGTGTGAAAATGTCACTTGAATATCTGACCTGTTTATAGAGCTCAAAGTGTGTGAGAGGCAGCTCCACAGCTTCTCTCACTTCCTGCTTCTGAATGTCCATACCACCAATGTCGGCATACATCACGTCAGGCTTTTGGTCTGGAAGCAGAAACACACACAAGTTAAAGCAGCTCTGATGGTTAAAGTGAACGCGCCAGCTTCAGATATTTTTAATGAGACGCGAGCGCAGAAACAAAGAAAGCTCCGGCCCACTGTGATGAGTTTGCACGACAGGGCTTGAACATGTCAGAGCCTGAAAGTCTTCGTACCTGACGTCAGCATCATGATGCTGCTGTCGGCCTCCGGGGGGAGCACGTCCACCAGAGCGTTGCTGTGCTTATGTAAGGCCACCGAGGCGTTGGGCTTCAGCAGCTCTCTGTCGATGGTGCTCAGGATCCGCACATAGTAGTTCGACCCTGAAAGGTTGACAACGAGGAATGAGGAGGAGGAACAGGGCTCATTACACATTTAAGGCGTACACGGCACATGGCACATCTGAAAGCCGGAACATGATAAAGCCTGTATGCATCATCTGCAGCTTCATTCATTTATAATCTATGGGTTTAATTATTTATCACAGAGTCAGGTTAAAGGGCTTGCTGAAAGATAGCAAAAACAATTATTACTGATTTCCAAGTGATGTAATATTCCATTTATGCTAATAGAGAACCCTTTCTTTTGGTTTAGTAGATCTATTAAAGTTTGCCTTTTTGCCCCCACAGTACCTGTAGTGGAACCAACAATAGCTGTGTTCTGGTCAACAGCTTCCAGGAACTGGCCAATGACGAGAGGGATGCTCTGTATCCTCTTCACCTCCTCCTGAGCGTGCAGGAACTCCTTCTTCAGATTCTTCTGCTCATCTTTGATGTACTCCTCCTGCACCTCCAGGAACTCGAGCTCCTGCTGCAGCTTCTGCAAAGACACAGCAAAAGCAGCGTGAGAGCCTGCTGGAGATGAAGGTCACAGGTCACAAGCTGCAGGTCACATCTGCAGCTTCCATGCCAAAGGCTGCTCGATGAAAACAGCCACAATAACTCCACCTGGATTATTTAACATGATGATTAGAAACAAAAATTTGAATTCAAACTAGGGCTGAACAATATATCGCATTTGCGATAATATCGCGACATGATCAAGTGCAATTTTCTAACCGCAAAGGCTGCGATTATACTCTGGACATGTCCAAATTCATGGGCTGCATCCTCCTGAGGCCGCATTTGTAGACCGATTACGTCACAGCGACGCGCCGAAGGCTGTCCAAATTACTACCATATCCCAGAATTCATAGCGCGGCCCAGCCAAACTCCAGTTTCCAGCAATGGCGGCCGCTACTAAGTTTTAAAATTACTCATACTAATCTTTCTGGGTCACAAAATAAACTTAACATATTTTCAGGCGAGAAAGTAGCTGTGTAAACATCAAATATCTGCTCGGTTTATCAAGATATCCCATATTTGCAAAAGTGCTTCAACGTTTTCAGAGGCGTCTGCTACCCTCCGGCTAGCTCGACAGCTAGCCGGGAGCTCGAGGGTTACTGATGCGGCCGAGAACGGCACAACTCCCGGCACATCATTTTCAGATCACCGCGGAGTTTCGCTGCTCGGGTTAAACGTAATATATAAGTCACTTAGACAACCTAAAAACGTTATTGTTGGGCTTTTTTCAGTGTTTTGTTTGTTCGTGAGTAAATCGGTTTGGCTGAGATTAAAGTTATTAGATTAGATAAAATAAAACTTTATTAATCCCCCGGGTGGGTTCCTCCTTGGTTTTCACACAGCTGACTAAACGTCAAACAGAAAACGTATTAAACAGAAGTATGAGACAGTCGAGAATTTACACCAGTGTCTGGTTATATTTTAGATAGCAAGAAGCAGACGGCCGAGTTTATTAAACTCCACCGAGACAGCGGTGACGCTAATCAGAACTAGACCGTCCAATTTCACGCCTTTAAATTTTAAAGGCGTGTTTGTGTGTGTGTTTATACAATTGCTATTATGTTTGCACTTTATGTGTAATGTTACTGACTGCAGAGATCAGTAAGATGTGTGCATTTTTTATTTATTAGTTTTATTTATTTAATATTATTTTTTAATTGAATGACTGTCTAGTAGTTCACAGATGTCGAAAAACTGAGTGTGGTAAAGCCACTGATTTTTTTTATGTATATTTCTGCAATCTGCACATTGTACTGACTTTCATTTTAATGTTTACACCAGGGTTCCTTGTCAGCACTTTATGCTCAGATGTTTGTAAGCTAAAAATAAACTATTGTGTATGTTCAAATATACTGTTGTGATTGAAGAAGTTAAATAAAAATGTCAGTCATCAATTCATGCATCACCTCATGTCATCATAACAGAGGTCTGTCTTCCAGGAAAGAACAGTTTAAAATTAATGTAATATAGTATTGGCCATACTATATGATGTATTGCTTGTCTTTGTTTAATAATACAGAAGACAAAGACCTTAAAAAATAATCGCATATCGCATCGCAATCGCAATATTGGGGCAAATAATCGCAATTAGATTATTTTCCATAATCGTTCAGCCCTAATTCAAACTAAGCAAAATGTGAGAGCGCTGAAGGACACAGTTAAGCCCTGAGCAGAGGGCGTTTTGACTGCAAACTTTGTCTTGCAGGGACCACCAGCCCACAGTAGCACAGGCTGTTTATCCTAACCACACACACTACGTGGAATTCTGAGTAAAAAATGATTTACTTGATTCTATAAACATTTTTTTGAAATTTTGTTGACAGCTCTGAAACCAACCTTTTCCCCCCAGCTGAGAAACACTGAATGTTCCAAAGACAAAAGCAATTGTTATTAAACATGTTCACCCTGAACATCCTCTCAACACTTCAACTATTGGTACTGTTACTGAGGCCACGTCCACACATTGTACATGCTCGGCACTTTTCCTCGACATTTCAAAGAGCAGGAAAGTGATGGTGAAGGTTTTTCTGTTTTCTTTCTTTCTTCATCTCATAGTAATACTACTTGCTCATGTATACATATGTCACTGTAATGAAAATAAACACAGATGTGCCACTCACACCAGAGTGTGCGTGTAACAAGCTGAAATGACACCAGAGCGTAACAAGTGGCAACAGCCGTGACACCATTTCTGGCATGTTTGTGAGGGCGACAACAGCAAGACAATGTGGACACAGAAAGCTGCAGACTAGGGCGATATGCCCTAAAGTCCATATCACGGTATAATTTGAAGCATGTGCGGGAACGATATGTATTGTGATATATTCTTTTATTCTGTATAACGTATTTCACACACTATAAGGACTTAAACTCCTTTAATTTTCTCAAAAATCGTCAGTTTGCTTTATGTATGAATTCTGGTTGTGTTTAATCACCTCGAACCGATTTTACGTGCTACACGGCGCGCAGAAATCTGTCCAAAAATTATACGACTTTGGTAGCTATGAAGCCGCACTGCTTGATGGATCGTCAGAGCATTACGGCTACCGTAGTCAGGAGCTTCGCGGAGTAATCTGGGTCCTAAACTCCATCTACTTCAGGTCCCAGAGTCAAACAAACACTGCAGCATCACTGAGAGTTAAAAACTGTCTAAATTATTTCATCTGTAATAAAATCATCAGCGTTGCTGCTTTACCAGGTGTAACAATTACATTTAACATCCATGAAAACAGAATTTATTAAATTCAACGGAGTTAGAAGTTAGCAGGAAGTTAGCTCGCTAGTTTCCACCTAAACATGATGTAGCATGTTCTGACTGAGAGATTTCTGAGAAAATTCAAACGTACAGCTCTGCTATCACTTCCAACATAAATGAAACTAAACAACAGTGACGTTTGCAGGGTTACTGAAGTTGGGCTACCTGGTATATAATGATGTGCTACGTGATTGCTAGCGACACAGCTATGTTAGCATAACATTAGCACAGTGAAGCTGGAGGATGAACGCCAACTTTTTTTCCTCTCGATAAAAGTTAACGTGACGGATTCTGGTGGTTTGGGACAAATGCAATCGCATAGCAGGATGCTGTACACGGGCCAAACTTCAGTCAGGAGAACAACTGAGATTATTCATCCACAATACGAGGTTAGTTATTAATATACTGCAACAACATGGGAACAGAGCAGCTGCGAGAGAATTCAGCATTAATGAATCAATGTTACGGAAGTGGAGGAAGCGCAGTTTTTGGCTTTCCCCATATTTCAAAAGTGCTTTGTCTCTTTGTTATTTGCCATAATTTGCAGATGACGTCGTTTCCAGCTGCTGCAATGCTTTCGACCAAAACATGCGCAGCTTGATGACACCATCAACAATTTGTTTGAAGCCTAAAGGGTACATGCAACCACATTTCTGTCAAGTGGACCCAACAAAGTATAATCCTGGATCTATAATGCACCGCCCACTGTTTTCCAGGCGGTGAACTTCAAATAAGTACGGGTCTCTCACTTGGTCTGTTTTGAAGTCGCCATTAATTTGCTGTTTGCTACTGAAGCAGATCCACTGAGTCAGCTGCACTTCTTCTCCTGTGTCTTCCACCACATCCCAGCAGAAACCTGCTGATGCCCATGTGAGAAGAGCTTTGAAATCAGAAAAAGCCACTAATTTGGACCTAACTGCGTGTTAGGTGTGTGAATGACGCAAGTTGTACAAAGATATATAAGAACCAGTCCATTTACCATCTACTTAACATTCAATGCAAAATCCTATAGAACCAACAGTGTCCTTCCACGATAGCATTTTTCAGGACTCCTGTGGTCTTTTTACCAAAGTGGACCCATTTAAGTGTGTGTAAATCTGTGAAACTTAAACAGCAGATAATAGGACCTTGTATCTGGTGTACAGGTCCTCCAGATCTTCTGGTTCTGGTGCCAGGAAGGAGAGTCCCGTCTGAGGTCTGGAGCTCAGTACCGCCGGCATGTCTTCCTGCGAAGGCGACAATAAAAACACAAACATGTGGAGTTATAAACAGCCCTCAGCATTCAGGGACAAATCCAAAATCACAGAGACCCGCACAGCAGCTGCTTTACACAATCATCACAATCATTAGCTACTTTCACAGCTAGCTACCAATAACTGACTACTTTGCGGTGCTTAAAACACCGAGTTCCGCAATTAAACCATCATCTGACTAATTAATACACGCATTTACTGAGTACGGGTTTACAAACTCCTCACACACTTAGAAAACAAATCATTTTCCTTGAGATCTGCGAACGTGATGCTAACATTAGCGGCTAACTGGATGACATAGCAGCGGCGCTGAGAATGAATCGGCAGGTTTGCGGTTCACCGTTTTAACGACCAGCAAAACAAACTGCGACACACACACGCTGACAGACACACTCTCACACGTGAGTTTACGAAAGCCCATCACACAGAATTCACTGTAAGAAAAGGAAAACCGGGGAAACCGATTCTTACCGGACTCTTCTCAACAGACACCAAATCCTCCATCTTCGAGTTTCTTCTTCCTCTACGGCTTCCGTAGTGCGGTTGGAAAATCACTCTAGAGGTGCGTTAGCGCCACCTGCTGAAGTGGAGTGTAAGCGTTCTTCTTTCTTTCTTTCTTTCTTTCTTTCTTTCTTTCTTTCTTTCTTTCTTTCTTACATTTGTACTGGCGGTTGGCAAACAATTGAAAGTAGTGATGTGATGTTCTGTATCGAGGCTTCGAAGCTTGTGTCGAGTAATGGAGGGGGCGTTTCCGCGATGCGCGTATCGAGGCTTGCTTCATTTATGGGAGGAGCTGAAAAT